AGGCCTGCTTTTCGTCCCGCCCGGCTCCCGCACAGCTAGCTTAGCCCCGGAAATAACAACACACAAGTTGTATTTATTTAAGCACTGCCTGGCCCATTATCTCTAGAGAGTTAGTTACTGGCTAACTCTCACATCTTGATTAACCCATTTCTAATGATCTGTGTAGCACCACAAGGTGGTGGCTTACCAGGAAGTATTCAGCATGTCTGACCTGGTGGCTGGATCCATGGCGTCTGCCTCACAGCCTTCTTCCCAGCATTCTGTTCTGTTTACTCTGCCTACCTAATTTTCTGTCCTATCAAAGGGCCAAGGCAGTCTCTTTATTAACCAATGAAAATAGCACAATAGACAGATAACCCTCCTCCATCATTTCCCCTTTTTCTGTTTAAACAAAAAAGAAAGGCTTTCATTTTAACATAGTAAAATTACATATAACAAAACAGTTATCAAGCAAGAATTATAGTTATACTATTTATATCTATTTTACCTTTTATCATCATTAAGGAAAACTATAACCAACCATTCTTCAACTCTATCAAAGACTCCAGAAGAATATAATATTACCCAAGCAAACAAGACATAAACAACTTCCAAAACTCTAGAAATGACAGAGACATCTTGCTGCCTGGACAGTCACCCAAAGTTCCTATGTATCATTGGGGCATCCATCTTCGGCCTTCAGGCCCATAGTATCCAGCAGACATTTCCACGAAGCAGGAAATTTCAAAGGCAGTTCAGTTACTGTCTGCTGTGTCTTGCAGAATGTCTCGCAGACTCTTTCATGAATCAGGAACCCCAAAAGATCATCTCACCTTTAGACAAGTTCAGCAATCCTCTCTCTGTGGGTTCTCTGTGTCCAGTTTATACAACAATCCAGGCAAGAGCAGTTTCTTGCCCAAATGGCTAACCAACTCCATAAGAAGCCTCTTCGATACCCATCTTCCTCTTGTAGTAGATTGGTGCTGCCAGGATCAGACTTGTCTCATTGTCATGAAAAGTCCTAAGTTCTTAAAACATTGAAAATGCCATATTCTGTAGTCTTTGAATTCTATGAAGAATGCCTATCTAACTAAACTGTATCTCTATACCTAGAAAATCTAACTAACATGACTACAAGAATGATTATTATCAATGATTATCCATTAACAACCTATATTTTTAATTATACATTGCATTTTTAAATGAACTACACAATCACAATACCTCATCAAGATCAGAAATACATATACATATAACAAAATTGACCTAAAATCCATACCAATGCAAATTATTAATATCTATATCATATCCCCCTTTAAATGTAAAAGAACATTTATAAACAATATTTGGGAATATGGATGTAGTTATTTCTCTCCAAACTGCTTCCTGCTTTATAGGGGCACTGTTAATCAGATCTTTCATGGTATAACCTGTCTGCCAGGTTCATCTCAGTTGGCAGTTGAATGAAGTAATTTTTTGAGGGTGTTCACAACAATCTTTCAGGAGGGCATGGTCTATCATACCATATTGGGATAGAAGCAATCCACAGGGTTTCATTCTCTGTGAAAACAAAAGAAGAACCTCCTTTCCAAAGTATCATATCCTTAGATCCAAATTCTGAAGTCAAGGTATTTTCAAAATATCTATCTTGGATTAGTTCAGCAGCATTTATAAACAAATATCTTTTAACAGCTGTTGCTCCTTCCTCAGCATTCAAACAACTCAAAGAGAGCATAATAACATACAGTATCAAGATTCTCTGTGTATTTTCCATCTTTGTGCAGCTTTATTTTAACCTTTATTTCTTTTATTTTTTTCTTTTAACTTTTGGCTTTTGAGACAGGTTCTCTGTATATATCCTTTTTTCCTGGAATATCTCTGTAGACCAGGCTATCCTTGAACTCACAGAGATCCCTCTGTCTCTGCCTCCCCAGTGCTGGGCTCAAAGGTGTTTGCTACCACACCTTGAACTCACAGAGACCTGTGTGCTCTGCCTCCCAGGCATTGGGATTAAAGGTGTGTACCACCACACCCTGAAGTCACAGAGGTCAATCTACCTCTGCCTCCCAAGTGTTGGGATTAAAGGTGTGTACCACCACACCCAACTACTTTCTTTCTTCCTTTTTTATTTTAAGAATTTTAACTTTTAGCCTGCATATATTTTTAAGACACTAAACCATTTAGAGGTTTTCTTCAACTTTGAATCTTTCTTTTACTATCTCTCTCTCTTTTTCTGACTACAGGAGTCTTTAAGGAGAGGATGAAAGCCGTGGCTTTGACGGCTGAATCCAGCCCACTCCTTAGCTTTCCAGCCTCATGGCAGAGATACTGCCAGAACCATTTTTATCCCCACAAGTCTATGGCATTTCAAGGTCCTTGCCAGCAAACAAGCTGCAGCATTCTGCTTACAGACCACACTCAGTCAGACCGCCTGCCTGAAAGAGTCAGAGTTTGCCCTGGCAGGACAGCCCAGAAAGCCAGCATTTTCAAACAGCACAGCTTTTTTCCTGCTACAACTGACAACCGAAAAACATGCATTCAGCTTTTCATCAACTCCATTTAAGTGTTTCGTGGCAGGACCTCTTAAAAGAGCTGCAGGGTTTTGCAGCTAAAGCTGAGTCAGGAAGCCTCACTTAGATGAGAACATTTGCTTGCCTCTAGCAAGAAGAGAAGACCTGAGAAATTGCTGCTACCAAGAAGACATGCTTTCTTCTATTCTTTCCAAGCTTTCTCAGGCTTTCTGTGGATTCAGTTATCCACGTCTGGGCGCCATTTGTAGTAAGGAGCTGCGGGCAGGCCTGCTTTTCATCCCGCCCGGCTCCCGCACAGCTAGCTTAGCCCCGGAAATAACAACACATAAATTGTATTCATTTAAGCACTGCCTGGCCCATTATCTCTAGAGAGTTAGTTACTGGCTAACTCTCACATCTTGATTAACCCATTTCTAATGATCTGTGTAGCACCACAAGGTGGTGGCTTACCAGGAAGTATTCAGCATGTCTGACCTGGTGGCTGGTTCCATGGCGTCTGCCTCACAGCCCTCTTCCCAGCATTCTGTTCTGTTTACTCTGCCTACCTAATTTTCTGTCCTATCAAAGGGTCAAGGCAGTCTCTTTATTAACCAATGAAAATAACACAATAGACAGATAACCCTTCTCCATCAATAAAGTTTCACAGTTTCCTGTTCATGTAAATATCCGCAATGCCGAGCCAGAAGCAAATAGCATAGCATATGGACCACAGGGTGGAAAGGAAGGGAGGGGATTTTGGATAAATGGGACAAAGTTTCAGAATGGAGGAATTGGTAGGGAACTATAACACCAAACATTTCTCTGTCACAGTTACTAACAGGGATGCTTTCATGTTTCTTTCTTCTTTGAAATGTGGAAATTGAAATGGCCTAATAGAATTCCAGCCCTGGTGAGGAGTGACTGCCAATAAATGGGGCCAGCACAGGTCTCCAGAGTGTCAGGTCCCTCCAAACCAGGGCAACAGACTCCAGCATCCATCCTCCAGCTATTGGGAATCAGCTGTGCGATTGCTTCTTCTTCAGCTTCTTCCAGCTCCAGCACTGCTGTTGTACGAAGATGTGGTCATAGGCACAGCATCCCAATGACCCTCTACCTCCCTAGCTCTGGTTGTGCTTGCAGGATGACTCACACTGCATGTAAAACAGCTGACTCTACAACCAGGAATGCCTTTATACCAATCTCGGCTGCTCTCATTTGATAACTCTAACCTCTTCAACTTACTCTGTGACTGTCTCTGAAAGGACAGCGAGACCTGTGTGAGTCTCTGGAGGAGGGAGACGGATGAAAGGAGATAAAGGGGATGAACTGGGAAACAGGATCGAGACAGGAAAAGGGGAAATGAGAGGTGGTGTAGATTAAGGAATACAGTCTGTGCTGAGGATCTTCCTGTCAACAAATAACATGAAAGAAATGGGCGTTACTGACCTGTTACAGGGTCTCTGGACAAGCTAGAGCAGGAAGAAACCTCCCCTGAAGAGCATATAGGGAGGGTCTAAGAACAGCCAGCAATGAGCATGAGAGAGCCTCCTCTGATGGTTCCAGCATGTGTCAAGGCTCACATGTAGGATGCTGCCTTGGAAATTTTATCTTGATCTTTCCTACTGAGTTAGGGTGTGGCAGGAGAAAAGGGAGGCCTATTGGTCAGTGGATTCCCATCTTCCTCAGTGATGAGTAACTGCTGTCTGTCAAAGTCACTAGAGAGGGACTTTGATTACTCCCTCAGTTTTTACTGAGGGAGAGTGAGATGACCTATTTGAAATACTGTCTTGGTATGTAACTGGAAGGATCAGGTCATCATGTTGTGTCCTGTGTGATGATATGTCAGGGCTACAGGATCTGGTGTCCATCTTCCCGTTATAGAGTCTCAGTTTCACCTCACTGCTGCCCTGCACTGTTGTTGGACATCTCTGCGTAGTCACATGCAGCATCAACACTGAAGGCCTCCCTCCCTTGTTACATGGATCCTGTTAGACCAAGCTTCCCCAGCATCTAATAGCCGACCTCTGTCGACAGGACAGACATACACACAGGATTCAGGCTTTAGTCCTCTGTGATCTCTTCATCACCTTCAAACTGATTTCCGACTGTCTTTAGGAAGAACTGCAGGAAGCATAAACACAGTGGGGGAAGGGAGTAATGCGGGACGACCAGGGGAAAGGGAGGTGGAGAGGTGAAGAGGAAATGATAGGACCTGTAGAGAGAGGGCTAGTGTCTGTCCTGAGGAGCTGACCTGGATATGAATCAAGAGAAAACAAGGTTTTGATGGGCAGGGGTCTTGAAGAAGTAAGACAAGGAACAAATGTCTCCTGCAGAGCAGAGTGGGAACTGTAGTTTCTTGCCAGTGATTGTGACAAAGTCTCTGCTCTGAAGATTTCTGGCTTGTGTCAAGGTAGAAAAGTGTGAGGCGGTCTTTCAAAAGTCTTCTTGACTGGGGCTACTGATGGAGGGTTTCTCAGGCAGAAGGGTGCTCATCATAATTGGAGTCCTCCGCTGGTCCTGTCTGCCATGGCCTATGGTAGGTCTGATGACATTTGTGTCTTTGTCCTCACAGGCTCCTTCATCCAGGCTTTCCATGTTGCTTCCCATCGCCTGATCCAAGAATCTGGCATCATTTTCCCTTGTCACAGAGGGATTTATAACTTACATTATACCTCACATCACCGTTTGTTCTCCTCCAACGTGGGGAACGTAAGTATGTCTTCCCAGGCCTGATGTTGAGTTCTTCCTTCACAAGGCCAGCAGCCCAGGAATTTCTCTATGACCAATGCCCACAATAGGGGCATGTGCACAAGGAAACCTTGGTCGTCATGGAGCTCCTGGTGACAGCCAGTGGTGCAGTGTGAACACTGGTGAGTGTGGGGTCTGAATTGTTTTCCAGGACACATTCCAGGTAGGGAGCAGCTCGCTGAGTTGCAACGGGAAACTGAACTCAGTTGGTACTCCAGGGCCCTATCTGTGAGCATCATCCCCTGAAGGTAAGATTGAGTGCAGTGAGTATCTGTGTGTGGTAGAAGAGGAGTTTCTGAAGCCTGGTCCTGATGTCATGAAGAAAAGGATCTCATGAGGTGGCCTCTGCCAGACTCCTAACACAGAGGGAAAGTTACCATTGTCTCGCTTGATGGAAGAGCAAGGGGCAGCTGAGAGACTGCGGAGGTGTGGCAAGGGAGGAACCATCTTCTCTTTTGTACTTGGCATCCGGCTTCCATCCTGAGCATCTGAACTTTTAGCAAACTCTGGTGAATATTGAAGTTTTGGCCAGATCTTCATCCCAGCAGGACAAGAGTCAGCTTGTGTTGTCAAGTACTTTCTAGAACCCTGATCATCTGGTGAGTCCCACGTACACAGAACAAGAAGCAGCTTGCTTATGGGGTGAGAGCTACTTTTAGTTTGTGGGCATCAACTGGGATCAGGTCTTGTTTCTGTTGCTTATCAGTGAAGCCAGGGCTGTGAAATGGTTGAGGGTTTTGTTGAATTCTGCAAATGAGATAGGGAAATTTTATGAATCTACATTTAAAATTTATGTTTTATGACTGGATCTCACTGTTTATTCCTGGCTGTCCTGAGACTCTCCATGTAGGGTATACAGATCTCCAACCCATAGAGATCGACCATATACCCTGCCTCCTGAGTGCTGAGATTACAGATGTACACTTCCACTCCTGGCTTCAAGAGTTGTATGGCATCAATGGTAAGTTCCTCCAAACAGCTGATGCAGAATCGTTCCAGTTCTGTGCTTTTTTCATCTTGATAGAGTCAGGATTGAACTGAAGATACTTTCATTCAGGATGGACTAGAAACAATGGGCAAAGTCCAAACCTAACCTTCAGAATAGAAGTTTATGTCCAGTATTAACAGACACCTGGATGTAAGGAATGCCATCAGGAGTTCTTCTGTGGACACAAGTCAGTGGCCTGGGGACATGTACTATTGCTGATACATCCTTGGGAACAAGGCACAGAGTATTAAAGCCCATGCACCAACCGTGTTTTCACAGAATCTCCACCTGAAGTCTTCGCACAAGTCATATGACTTCACACTGACCAATCAGCAGAGTCCAGATCGGTTTCCTGGTATGATTGGTTGAGTTCTGTCCATTTGGGCCATGAGAACATGGCTGAGGACTCAAGGTTTGTCACTGAGACACTGGGCTCCTGTCTTGGGATGTGAAGTCAGAGCTTTCACTCTAAGGACACCAGTGCTAGAGGCAGCACATGAAGCCACACATTCTAAATAGGAGCTTCCAGTCCTACTCATCAAACACACAGAGAGAATCCACTTGGCTGCTGGCTTCCACGGTAAGACTTGGTCATGGACGCCCCAGTGATTTCTTTACTTGGTTTGGGTTTGTTTTTCGACCATTGAACCATCTTCATACTTGCAGGCTAATGGGGGTCCCAGAGCTGCCGGAGTCCTGATACTGAACCAGCTAGGACGCTGAAGCACACGCTGGACTCTCTGTGAGGGTAGAGATGATCATTCCCCTTCCCAAGACATTGTGGACCATCCCTGGGTACTACTGTCCTTCTCCGTGTCTTTAGTGTTCTGACATTCATGTTCTGGCTCCTACAGACCTCCAGATTTTCCATATGAGAGAAAACAGACCTCTTTGACTTTTGGGACTTGCTTGTCACACATAATGAAGCAATATTAAGACACACATCAATTATGGAAAATGTCAAAATTTTACTCTTGCTGCTGAGCATGTGCTCTTTCCCCATATCTTCAGATAGTTACGTCATCATTTTTTATTTCATCAATTTTTTATACTTGAAACTGTCATCTGTCTTTTGCAATTGGCCCGTTAACTTGTTTCCCCGTATGTGTAAGTAAATTTCCAAATCTGACCTCAAAATCTCCAGTCCCACAGTTCTTCCTGCTTCTAAGTAAAGTGACATAGTTGAGCTGGAGATGGGGACAAGAGGATGAGAGACAGAGGCTGCAGAGGCAGCAGGAAAGAGTTTGCAGAGGGAGGAATGTGGATGGGGTGGAAGAGACAGAGGGGAGGAGCCATGGGGAGAGGGAAGCTCAGTGGGTAAGGAGAGTGGAGACTGAGAGCTGTTCGTTTCAGATTCCCTCAGAGCCCCTCCCACGGGTCCTTCCTGTTTAAAGTGATGAGCTCTGTACATCAGGAGACACCGGGTGGAGATTGCAAGTGTGGCCTGAGACTCAGAAGCAGGAGCCCTGTGGGAATTTCAGATGGCAGGGTGCCCACTTACCCAGCATAAAGGGTCTCTGTCCAGCAGAAGAGGAGGTAAGCCATCTACCAAAGGTTTCTCCCCAGGACACCATAGTTTTCAAGGGAAATTTTCCAATGACTGGCCTTTCAAAGCATCTTTGTCAGAGGAAAACTTGAGCCAATACCGTGCTCAAGCTGCCCATGAATGTACAGACCCTGTGGACCAGTCTGCAGGGAAATATCTCAGCAGAACTCATTTATCTCTCCATTTCTTCAGGTTTCTGTTCTTAGTGTAATGTTTCCCCTTGTGAAGACAAGCGAGCTCCTTCTCATTCTTCATCTACCTCTGTTCCCTGTGGTTGTGTTTGCAGTCTTAATTTATCCTGGATTCTGCCCATTAGAAAAGACACAGTCACACTGTGTGTGGCTCTGATTACTGTGTTTCTGAAGGGGCCTCACTGTAGGGAGTTTTACCATAACCGTACTTTTCTCCTGACAGGAAAGTGACCATCGGCTGGATGAAAATGGACATCACTTTGGAATATTGAAACATTGTTCCGCTTTGGAAGTGAGTTGGGATTACGTAGCCTAGGATATAGGAGCCAGAAGTGGGGCAAGCGTTCTTACACCTATTTTATACCCAGGTCCCACTGGTCACAGGAATCAGGCCTAGACAGCCTTGATAACCATAGAGGTAGGACTTTGAGCTCAGCTGTCTGCTTGGCTGTCCTGCTGGGCTAATTGTTTAAGTGTTGTCAGGTGCATGTGGCAGGCAGATCACTGCTCCATGCAGTGAAGGATGGCCACTCTGATGGGGTTGAGTGCCAAGGCTCATCTGTGGGCAACACATGACTGAAGGCATCACTGGGACCACGATAGATCAGCTTGTGCTCATTGAGATGTGTTTGGTTTCTGGTCTAAACTTGGCTCTGCCTTATGGGTTAGGAGGCTTGAGGCTGGCCCGGCAGGCTTCCCTCAGTCCCAAGGGAAAGTGGTGATTGAGCTTGTGTTACAGAGGACGAGAAAGAGAATGAGAAACAGCACTCAAGGCATGGCTTCAGAGGGGTGTTGAGAAAACTTGGTGTAGGTAGCACATCTCTCCCCTCTGATCTTTTTTTTTAAATATCTATTTATTCATTTATTTATTATGTATACAATATTCTGTCTGTGTGTATGTCTGCAGGCCAGAAGAGGGCACCAGACCTCATTACAGATGGTTGTGAGCCACCATGTGGTTGCTGGGAATTGAACTCAGGACCTTTGGAAGAGTAGGCAATGCTCTTAACCTCTGAGCCATCTCTCCAGCCCTCCCCTCTGATCTTAACATCACTGGGGAGGGACAGTTTGAAACAAGAAGGTGAACATCTTCTCACACAAGGGGCTTATAATAACCACAGCACAGAATACAGATGGCATTCACTCTGCTACTCCCCAGTGACTTAGTCTATGTTGGGCTCCACAGCCAGGAGCATGATGAAATGGAGCTGCTTCCTCCTCTGCGGTTGGCTGATCAGTGAGTGGCCACTAAGGCAAGTCAGTCCTGATGTACTCTACTGTCACCAGTGCCTGGGCAAGGGACACTTGGGGACTGTAAACAGGTCACGGAATCACAGAAGAGACAACCCAAGTGGACCAGGGGCCCCAAGCTCATGTGGTGGTCTCTAACAATGTGAATCTCAGAATGCAGACATGATATCCAAGAGGCCCAGTGAGTGACTTTTTAACGCTGGCCACTAGAGGGAGCCTGTTGTGGCCTTTAACTGTTACCTGAGATCAGTCAGCTTCTGATCAGGCTCACACATTCAACATCCTCCTTCCTCACTGTCTCCCTGATGGAGGCAACAGGAAGAGGTGCAGTCAACACCAGCTATTTGTGCCCTGATCTCTACACACACTACCCCAACGTTGCTCAGTACTGTTTCCCTTGCAATGGGGAAAACTGAGTCCCAGAGATGCTCAGAAAGCTTGCTCTTTGGACAGAGCATGACTGGTTGAATCCCTGTTTAAATTCCCCAGATACAATGACCATTGTGGTAGCAGCCTGGGTCCCCTGTAGTCTCAGAGGTCAACCCCAGAACTCTCATTGACCACCCTTCTCTCCTCAGATCTCCAGGTTCTGTTGTGCATGCTCTGGGACAAAGCTCACTGTCACCATAAGTGCATCCTGTGTCGTCTAGGCAAGTGTTGAATGAGATGGGGTGCAGGAAGCACAGTGCCCAGATACAGATGTGTTGGTGGGAACCTGCTCTCCTCCCTGATGCTAGAGCCTTTTCACAGGACAGGAGCAGGGAAGCCAGGACAAACCAATCCCTTCAATCAGAGCTTCCTGAGGAGTCATTACTGAGTTCTCCTTTAGGAAGGTCACATAAGAAAATTGACATCGACCCTGCCTTATTAGGACCCAAATCCCAACAAAAAGAAAGCTGCACTTTTCCAAAGACCACGGGATAAGGACTGGTGAATGAATCTTTCTGCCAGCCTCATCATTAGTCTAAAATAAGGCTTCTCTCATAGATTCTGGGTCACAAACTGAATCATGGACCCCGAAATTCCTGACTGAGGATGTGCACACTGACCATTAGTGATCTTTAATGTGGAGTCTGTCCTCACCTCTATGTCTCCTGGAAGACGAACATGCCATTGCCTGAGCTCTTGAGGATCTCAGAGGCTCCACTGGACGTTGTGAGGACACTCTGTGGGGGACAAAGAAATGGTTGCTCTTCCACCTCCCAACTACAGACAACCACCCACATTACTGACGAGTTCTGGGGAACCTATCAGAAGGGCCCCTTGGGAAAGCCTCCCAGTGGGTAAACACTATTGTATTCCTGCCCAACTTAGACCCCTCTGCATTTTGACAGTGCAGAACGTAACCTGTGCCTCTTTGTCCTCTCAGATAGCCCAGAAACCCTGTGTGAGCAGGATAAGAAAGAATCTCAGAAGGGCCTTGAGTAATGAATGTGTTTCTCTTTCTGACTGGATCTCCCAAGAAGGGAGCTCTGCCAGCTGTCAGACCCTGCTGAACACCGCCCCCACACACACACACAACCTCAAATACATTCCTAAATATTGGTCCATGAAGAAGTTCCCACACAACCACATACTAACTGCTAGGTATCAGGTCCTACTGAACAATCAAGTCTCCACACCTCGTATTTAAAACAAGGCATGGACCTTGAATGACACTAACTTAACCCCACTAAGTGCTAGTTACCAGGCCATGGCCGATGATCTCCCACTCTGTCCAAAACACACTGCTATTGTTTGGTACCCACAGGGAACCATCACACCACACAAGTGACATTCTCCAGGGTTAATTATCAGGCCCTGTGATACCTCATGACATCAACTCATATAAATTTTAGGATATCAATCCTTGGTATCCAAACACTCAGACCATGATATGTTAACTCCTATAATGGTAACTGAAGGCCCTTGAAACACGCACATCACCCTGCAGCAGCCTCAAATATATTTCTAGGTATATATCCCTGGTATCCCTGGATATCAGACCATCCACTGCCAATCTAGTATATTAACAGGCCTGGAAGGACACTAATTCACCCCATCAGGAAACATATATTTACCAGGTATGGGGAGCTGCTAGAGAGCCCGTTCTACTGCTCCTCACTGATACATATTCTTATTCTTCAGGCCTCTTGGACACCCTACCACCACAATGCCAAAGACACAGGGCAAGGTTTCAGATCCTGCTGGTAAACCCTACCTGACAGACAAACATTCTTCTAACACAGCTGGATATCAGGTCTCCCTAGGATTCCCCCACCTACAGTTAACCCTCTCCAATGGGGATTGCATGTCAATTCCTGCCAGGAACTCCCTTAAGTATAGTCAAATACCCTACATATAAACTGACACACATAGGACTACACATCATATTCTTTGATTCCCTCTGTTAACATTGAAGTCCCCTGATGTACAGTTAGTGTCAGGATCTGCTAGGTATACTTCCTAATAGAGTCTCATGTACATGACTGTGTGTCAGGTCCTCCTCAGAAACACCTCTGCTAGAGGAAAACTTCAAATACACATGCATGGCAAGGTGTCCTGTCATGCTAAGAGTCTCCTCCCCTATAGCCAATTACACTCATATACATAAGGATGGTGTTTGATAGCTGGCACCTACCTGATATGTAAACCCTGCTCGCTCGTGCTCTCTCTCTCTTTCTCTCTCTCTCTCTCTCTCTCTCTGAAACACACACAAAGAGAGAGATTTAGAGAAAGAAGGAGAGAGGAGAGATGAGAGAAAGGTAAGGAGGGAGGAGAGAGAGACAGAGATAGAAACAAAACTAGGGCTCAAGTCCTCGATGGTATCCCCACACTTTCCTCAAAAGTCCCACCCACATATGCTTTCTTGTCTTGATAGTAATGCTGACGTCTACAGTGAATGACAGAACACAGGGTGGGTGTCATGTCACGCCAACTGTTCCTTCTGTCACTGTCTTTGGTCCACCTACACATTGGTCTTAGATCATGCTAGATGTGCACTAACTTACAACCAAAATCCAGAGACACACAAACACACCTACATGCACACCTGTATGCTTGGCTATGTAGCAGGTTGTCCATCCTGTTTCCTCAGGAACAAATGAAGCCTCACCAGTACACTCATGGCTATACCTCACGTCCTTCTAGTCCCTCCAGTTAAATCCACAGACTCAGCTTTTCATGTAGGCTTTCTATGTATCCACTCCTCCATAGCAAAATCCCCATACACACACATATACACACACACATACACACACACAATGCACACATACCTGCACAGATGCACACACACATATACACACACACGCACACATTCACACGCACACACATATGAACATACCCATGCACACAATCATGTCTAAGCGTCATCACCTAAAATGTATCGCCATCCATTTTTGGTTTTCGAGACAGGGTTTCTCTGTAGCTTTGGAGCCTGGCCTGGCCTCGAATTCACACAGATCTTCCTACCTCTGCCTTCTGAGTGCTAGGATTTAAGGTTTGTGCCATCACCACGTGGTAGGTATCCCCATATTTAAATTGAAATATCACCCCCAAATATAAACACATGGGTATACGTCAGGCCCTTCTATGAATACTCACTACTATAGCCAATGCCAAACGTACAGGGCTAGATGTCAGGTCCTGCTAGGTCCACCCTCCCCTGCAACCAACACTTCTCTTACACAGCTGTGTAGCATGTCCTTCATCAGAGTCCCTACTTTACAGATAAAGCCACATGCACAGGGCTAGGTCCTTCATATACTATGTCACTGCCAAACATGCCATACACAGCAACCCCATATTCACTCCTATAAGTCCAAGGGCAGGTTCTGGTATTAACTTTTCACATACAACTACATGGTTAGGTCAGGTCGTGCTATGTAACTCCTCCCAACAGCAAAATGCCAAGTTTACACACACAAACAGAAAGACACATGAATGTACACATGTGAAATAGCAAGCAATTATGCATTCAGGTCTGAAGGAACCTTATTCATGCTTCGAGATGCCAACAGATTCCTCCTAACCCTGTAGTGTAGCCTTGTCTTGAGTACCTGGCAGGACTAGACACCTGGCTCTGGGTGTGTGGCATTGCTTTATAAGAGTAGATTCTCTTAGGCCTGACTCCTGAGAATCCATGTATATGTGATTGCATAGGCTCTAAGTGTGGGACTACATTGCTACACCTTTTGCCTAACCATGTGCAGAAGGCTTGGGCTCTAAGGAATAAGAAATCTATCAGGACCCGGCACATAACTGTGTGTGGGAATGAGGTCAGGGGTGCTTTACCTATAGTGTGGTGATGAAAGCAGATCTTAACACTACCGAACAGCTAAAGCCCCTCGTACGCTCACATGGATAGCTGTCAGGTGCTGCTAGAAAACTCTCCCTTGGAGTGCCACACCTATTTATGCCCCCTACAGTCATGGCTTCCATACATGCCTAGGCCTCATGTCCACCTCATTTATTCCTCGTGTAAAGCAAATCTCCAAACATGCATGTAAGGCTAGGCATCACATCATGCGAGGCATCTCTGCCCCTACATCCACTGCCACAGATACACATAGGCTGTGATGGCTGTCCCTGACCTTGTATTCAAAACCAACTCTCTCTACCTTCTTTCTCTCTTCTCTTCTCTCCTCCCCCTCACACTAGGACCCTGGTCTCATTGTTAATTCTGTACCATATACCCAAACACAAAGCTCTTACACATAAACCCTGCTAGGTAACACACATCCTCTAGGCAAATCATCTCATACACATAAACAACTAAATGTCTGGTTCTTCTAGACATGGCTCCCCCCTCGGCAAAGCCTCTAATGCACACACTGGGCTATGTTTCGCCTCCTGTTGATTATGATCTTCCCTACAGCCAAAGCTACACATGGAAGATAGATGTCACTTCCTGTTGGCCTCCCTTCCTTCCTCACTGCGCTTTGTTTCTTCATGTTTTATTATCACCTTAGACTTTTGGGAGACAGAAACACCAGATGGAGAAAGTTGCTGCCATAACTCTCTCTGGGTCTAGCACATGTCACTTGATATCCCACAGACATCCATTTACATGGAAAGATGGCTTTAAAACAAAGAGGG